CATATCTCTTTGTACAGTATTTTCATGGTATGATATTTATTGCGATATTTTGGCAACAAAAACTGCTATCAAAACTGTTAACATGCTCCTTTTTCTTCTTAAAATGCCTTGACAAGACTTAATCCAAAGAACTACGACTTAAAAGTGCTTAGAACTAGGGGTGTGGAAAAATATTGAAATACTGATATATCGTTTTGTTTAATGTGATGATACAGTATCGATATCCTGGACAGCTGTATCGATATATCGCCAAGAGTATTTTTTCGTATATTTTACTAAATTATTTTGTTACAGTGCTACAGTTTTGCTGCTTGTTTAGAGGAAGGAATCTTGTTCATGCGACGCATTTGACATTTTTACTGTTTTGATGAGTAACTTGGGCGTGTTTCATATGAACTTTGCACAAGAAGTGGTTTAACAAAGACTTTTCATATCACAGCCAAGATTTAGCCATTATTTTTATTGAACCGTATCAGATCAATTTGAAATATATTGTATCGAATCAAAAGTGCACTGTATCGTGATATGTATCGTATCGTGGCCTATGTGTGGAGGTATGTATTGTATCGGCAACTTCTTAATGATACCCAGCCCTACTTTGAACTGTTATTTCTTCATGGAGTCTACACTGAAATGGAGCAAAGGATCATGGTCTATGTAGTCTCCTCTGTCTTTTTTTTTTTTTTTTTTTGCTGTTGCTGCATAATTACTGTACAATTTAAGAAAGAGACTTGTATTTTGATATTCTGTGATGGTCCACGATATTATTGTGAGAACTCTGACGATACAATATCACGATATTTCAGTTATTGTTAGATCCCTAGTAAACAAACATTTTAGGCACTGTGATTGGATGAGCTGAAGTGTCTCTCAGCGTGTGCCGCTCCAGCAAAAAAAATCCAACAGCAGCGCTCTCTCTGTGCTGTGCAGCCACGTACACATGAATGGGATTCTGAGCTCACCACATCCTGTCTGCACCTCATATTATTCTACCTAAGCATATGCTTATTTGACTCCTCTCCTGACATAGAAACTTTTTTAAAGATGGAGAAGATGATTTTCAATCCATGAAAAAAAAAAAAAAAATGGGGCAGCATGTGTCACGGACCGCTGCATACTATTGTAGAGAAAAAGTGTTGTAAATCAAATGCATACAGACGAACCATGGCCTTAGCCTTGGATTTACAAATACAAGCACATTTTGTAATTAACCAAAGTAGAAATTCAACATAATCAAATGAACAATATATTTAAATGGTTTAGGCTGATAACAGTGTGTAATATTTACGTATATTATTGAGCAGTACATTAATCCTTGCTTGTATAAGAGATGCAACAAAAGACAAGGGCAAACATTTTAAATAATGTAGTAATCCATAATGCATTTATTTGAATTAATTAATATATGAAAAATATGTACAAATCATTTCCACAATGCAAAATTATGGAGCCTGGATCATTGTGGAGGGCACAGCTAGAAGAGGTTTTGGTTTCATAGCTAAGTTTGTGCACATAAATTATGGGAGCAGATGGTTAAAGTCATTATGCACAAAATGTACACAGGGTACAACTATACTACATTATGATGCATGAATCTATTGTTCTACAAAATAAGTTGTGGTATGAATATAGAAATGTATGAACTGTGTGCAGCATGACTGGTGAGCATCCCAACATGGTGAACATCTAGAGGGGCTAGAGGACACAGTTTCAACTTAAAACTATTATTGAGCATAAAGGAGAAAGAGTTCTGATACTGAAGGGCACTCTTTTGTCTATACTTCAAAATTTTGCTAATGTTTACCCAATGTGGACCACAGTAATTCTTATAATGATCTTATACTCTTCAGAGTTCTCACATAACTGAGGCTCTGGACTCTGGAATGAGCATTTGTTATTGAATTATCAAAGAGGGACTTATTGGTTGAATGTAACTTGCTACATATGAATATGTCTCTTCAGATTCAGACGGTGAATGCAGATGTAGGTAATGCAGTAGATCCCACACACCTGTGTGCTGTTGATCAGTTTGGGGTTTGTGAGTTAAAAGCCAAAGGACAAGTTTGTTAAATGTACATATATATACAAATATATATAAACACACATGGGGTTTTTCCCTAAAAAAAACTGCACCAATAGACCCTCTCAGTACACAGCATTTGAGTCTGAAACAACTACTGAAGTGATGAATTGTTGTACAGAGTACAAAGATTTGCACTTTAACAAGGAAAGTTGAATGAGAAAAGTCTCATGGAGCCTTTTCACAGATGCTTGTAAAGAGGTTTGACCACCAGTGTCTGAATCTGTGTGGTCTTTTCACAGGAAGAGGGGCTCAGGTCCTTACACTGAGAGAGGGGAAGTTGTCGCTGGGTGGACATCAGCATGTTGCTGTGCTTCAAAAAGCTCACAGATCTGGGCTGCTGTGGCTTGGGTCACATGAGCTGGAGAACAGTCTGCAGCTCCAGTGTGAGGGACATGTGTGAGACTGTGGAGGACAGTCTGCAGCTCCAGTGTAAGGGACATGTGTGAGACTGTGGAGGACAGTCTGCAGCTCCAGTGTAAGGGACATGGGTGAGACTGCTCAGGCTTTGGAACTCCTTGTCCACTTCAGCCTGGGCCAGATTCACAGTGGGGTGCTCGGCTGCTGGAGGGCATGCTGCACAGGGCTGAGGAGGGAGAGGGCTGTTGTAAACTCTCAAAGACTTTAGTCTCCAGCTCCAGGACCAGCTCATGGGGAGACAGCTCCTGCGGAGACAGCTCATGGGGGGGCTCATGCTCCATCTGGGACAGGCTGGAGTTGTAAGAATGAGCCAGGCCCATGAGTCTGTGATGTCTGTGGAAAGGTACCGAGAGAGTTAGATATTTGTATCAAAGCAATTGAGGTGTAGATTAAACACTTTGGTGATTGAACTTCCTCCAAACCTGACACAGGGACACAGGACAACAGGACAGAGACTTCCAGTCTAAAACACAATGTGTCTCATTTTGATGCTGTTGATGATGCCCAAGGTCTGAGACAGTAACAGAGGGATCAGTACATTTACACAACACAAATAGGACCAGTTTAAAGACTCACTGGAGTGATCGCTACAAACTGAGAAGTACTTAGGCCTCCTCATCCCTGTTCTCCAGTCTCCAGTCTGTACATACAAATACACAGCGCATGTGAGGAGATGTTCTTTTGCACATGAACAGTACCATTGTCTGAAAACAAGAACAGAAATATTTCAGGAAAGGAGTTTAAACAGTGAGGATCCACACAGACAAATATGAAACCTTGGGCTGAAAATGTACTTGAACATTGTGTTTGCAGCACCACTGCTTTAAATAAGATTTAGTTTAATGTTTGAGTCTACCCTTTGAAAATACCAGTTTTGGGGAATTATTTAAAGTTTTGTCCTTTGAATTACATTAACTTTAAATCATAAATCACATGCTAATCTTTAAATCACTCTTACTCTTAGTACAAATAATATTCTACTCTTACTTGAGTAATTTCTTCAAGTACTTAATAATAGTAGTAATAGTAATATTATTTTGAGGTTATGTTTGGGTAAATTTTTGGCAACTCTACACACATCTGGACACACTCCTTGCAACTATGGCCAGTTACACCACCACCTCTAATGGACTAAACATGGCCCACATTAGGAGTTGATCTAAACCCAGGATTAAACAGCATGTCTAACTGAACATGGGACATGCCAGATCAACCTTCTCTTCTAATTATGTGATCCATATCTGTTTTATAAGAGCATGAAAAGTACTTTAAAATTTAAAAGATTTTGCACTATGGGAAGCATGTTCAAATCAATTATAGCTTTTACTGATAACAAATGTAATGCTGATTTATTCTTAATTACAAAAACATTGATGGCCAAGTTGTTTATTTTAAAATTTGGTGTTTTGGTTCTCAAGACAATTATTCAAAGAAAGCAGAACGAACCTCACATAAGTCTCTTCATCTCTTCATTTGAATTTGTTTCAATTTGGAAATCAACTTGTTTAAACGTAAAATGCCTCTCTCTAAACCCCAGCACCTGCAGTTGGTGCTAGTGCAGCCTCTGCAGCTCAGTGAGTGAATTCTGGAGGTTGCCATATACTGAGAATGAGAAAAACTTGCATGTGTCTTCTATATGCAGGTTAAAGCACTGGTAGCTCAAATTCAGTTGTGACTGCAGTACTTTTTTGTACTTTTTAAAAAACATAAGATTCCAGGCTGCATAGAGTTCCTTTAATTCCACTGCTGTGTGCGTCAGGTGAGGTGTTCTCTCATAAATCGTGCGCTTATTGGGGAGGACCTCGCCAGGCTGCGCGTAAATCTCCCGCTATCACTTTTACGCACCACTTTACTCGCACTTTCTCCGCTTTATAGTCCCCATTCTTTTACACATCCATCTTGTTTAACCAAAGTTGTCCTCCGCTCCTCGTATGTGCTCAGTGCTGCCTGCCTGCCTGCCTGCGCTTCTCCGCTCCGCCTGCAGAGCTGCGGTGATGTCAGCCCGCCTGCCTGGGTCATTTGAAGGTCAGCAGCCTCGGAAGGGTTCATAGAAAGTTCACTCGCATATATTAGGGAATTCAATCTTTCATCCTCCGTGGCAAAACTAGTTGGATATGGGCTGCGCTGCGATACGGAGCGATCATCCTTCACATTACGCGTGCTTTTAGACGGTACAGGTTTTGTTTTCGGACGCTTTTTTTGCCTTTCGAAAACAGAACTGCTTTCCCTCTCCGCGCAGCCGGGACAGCCACACTCCACACGCTTTTTGTTATTATGGGACGACCGCTTGTGGAATCGCGGACACTCTTACGCCGTTTTTAGCGACACGAATCGGACTAATATTTCATAATTCCTCCACGGGACAGTTAGGAGCGTCGGAATTTCGCTTTTTGCCGAGACGTGGACGAGCGGGGGGTGGGGGGGTGGAAGAAAGAGGAGGGGGAGAAAGCAGCAGCAACAGAAGCAGAGGCAGGAGAAGACGCGAGGAGTTTTGATGGAGTTGTTTCATTTGGGACTGTCGCGAGAAGACGAATAGTTGTCGATCGTGCGTAGTCGTTTTTGTTTTGTTTGTTTGCTCTTTTGGCACGCGGACATGTTCGACTGTATGGACGTGCTAGCGGTGAGTCCAGGGCAGATGTTGGACTTCTACACCGCGTCTCCGTCCTCGTGTATGCTCCAGGAAAAGGCGCTGAAGGCTTGTATCAGCGGACTGGCGCACCGCGAGTGGCACCACCGGAGGAGCGCTAACTGTAGGTCCCCCCTCGCATGCACGCTGTTTTATACCTACTTTGTTTTGTTTGGCAATGCTGCTCTGAATGAGGAACAAATCACAAAGTACAACGAGGTTCGGTTTAGTATGAGTTTTAGCTTTACGCAGTATTTTGAGGACTTTTTCCTCATTCCAAAGATATATTTTAACATTTTATTGAATTGTTAATCACTGTGGCAACCTAATTTTGATCTGAATCTAATAGATCATAAATGCTGGCTGTCCTTTAACACTTTTGAGAAAGTACTGTGACGTGTTGCTTTACGATTTGGCTACTTTAAGTACTTTGAGCAGGTACTATAAAATATTTGCATTTATATTTAAAAAATAAAAGAAGTCATGACTCATTTTGGATTCGTTGCTGGGAAAAAAAAAAACTAATAAGAGGGTTTGATTGAAATAGCATTTAAATTAAAGAGAGTGAAGTTGGCATTGCATTACTAGAGTCACTGTTTAATGAGATTCTTTTAAAACAAAACATAAAAATGTCACAATATTTGCAGATACTGTTTTGTTTTGCATTTGCGTAATGCTCTGAAAATTCTTTGCAGACAAGTTGTTTCCAAACACAGATTACGATAATAAATGAATATTTAAAGTACTGAAAATAATTTGTAGGGAAAATGAAGGATTGCACTGCGTTGCTTGTGCATGCTTAAGGACTATTTCGAGATTCAAGATTTCCTGAGAGGTTATGACATTTTTAAAAGGTTTCATTAAATTTGGGGGTTTGGGTGAAAATTACGAATCTTGTGATGAAGTTAGGGCCTCTGAAGCTCTTTTGCGCTCTGGAAAATTTGACCAAACCTTGGCAAGAACATCCTATTAAAAACAAATAGTTTGAGGGAGTCAGAAGAATGTGGAATTTCATATTTTCTTGCCAATACCATGGTGCTTCACTGAGTACTTGTTTAGTATTTTCAATATCTCACTGAATATTCTGAAGAAGCTGAATGGTTTTGAGATATGTTGTCAGATTCTAAGTTTATTTTTTATTTGAGAGCTTGCTTTTGTCCTGAAAGCTTTGTGTAATATACAGTAGTTAGTAAGAAAATATAACTGCACTTTGCATTCTTATTTTTACATTACAATAAATAAACAAATACATAATAGATAATCAGAACTTTAAGAGACCAGGAAACAAGCATTAAAAGGATTGGAAATGTTATATATTTTCTCAATTTGTAATATTATTTATTAATTTGAAACTGTTGCATGTCTAATTTAAAGAATATTTTATCAAAGATTATGAGAAGTTGCTGACAAATCTTCTGCTGTCTTATAATTTAGACTTTTTTTTTTTTTCATGTCAGATATTATCTATTACCAAAAATGTGAACATATACGAGTTCACCCTCTGTGAAATAGAAAATGATTATCAGATTATCAGGCAAAAAAAACCATAAAAGATCATGATAAAATGTAAAGAACTATCTTCAGGACAATGTATAGAAATTTTGCTTTATAATCTGTATATTAATCAAATATTATGAAAGCGCAGGAATGCAGTGGCCATCATGGGGGCGTCTCCTCTGTCGCACATGACACGAGACGGTGTGTGTGTGTGTGTGTGTGTCGTGGGGGGTCCTGACACTGATTTAGACAAATGACCTCCTCCTCGCCCGACCCTCTGTACCCCTCACCCCCTCCCTCTCTCGGGGCATGGCGCTGGGCAGTGTGCGTCTGATGGATGGATGGGTGCTTCAGTCTGTGATAGAAGAGGGAAGAGAGGTGGAGGTGAAGAGAATTTGAAGTTTTTGTGTTTTGGGATGAGTCTGTACAGTATGTGCCTAAAGTAGTTTTGGTGGTGCTTAAAATTTCATAGAGTTTAGATCCAGTCGTTTCAAATAATCAATGAGAAACTTGAGCTATTTTTATTTATTATTTAATGTATTTATTTATTTGTGTGTGTGTGTGTGTGTGTGTGTTAAATGGTAATGATTACATGATTTGCTGGTGTTCAGGAAATTCTTTTTTAATAACAAACAGTATTGAATCAGAAATAAGGACTGATCAATACAAGTTAATACATGACTGATTTTTATTTTTTTTTTCCAGTTTCATTAGAGAATGTTGTATTTCTTGTTTAAAAAGTATGCCATAAACAGACAAATTTACAATGCCATGTGCACTTCCCTCTAAAATATTCCAGTTTTTAATATTATTACATTTAGATGTAATTAAACACTTTAAAAATACCTCATAAATGTTTATATTTACTTCAAATATAACAAATATATTTTTACAGTTGAGTTAGTAAACTGTGTAACTGTGTACTAAACATCCGAAATGTGTTTATCAAATCATTCAGTGAGCAGCCAGATTTGGAGCAAAATTATTTTCAGCTACTAACCAAATATTTTGAAAAAGTAATTCAAAATATCTTCACATTGTTTAGAGAAATATTTTCAGAAAAGAAAATATTTTGATAAGGCGGCTTTGTTATATTTTAACTTAAGTAAAAATATATAAACATGCCAATCTGTTGACTTCAAACTGTTATAAATCTGTAAATCCAGAGTCTAATTGTTGGTTTGATTCCCGTAGCGCACTTGAACACATCGCGGTGTACTGCGGTCTATGGCACTTGTTTCTGTTTGCGTTGGCGTCACCCCCCCGCTGCTGCCTTGTGATTTACTGTCATCTGATAACGCCTCGCTCCTCGGGAAGTGTTTGCTCAAGGGCACGCAGTCACAAGTGGCTCTTATCAGCGGCGGAGAGAGTGCCCTGGGAGCTGTGACCTATGACCCCTGCAGTGTCCAGTAACATAACACTCAGAAGCACTGATATCTTTCTCTCATTACTCTAACAAATACTAAATAAATAAACAGCTCAATATTCCAAATTACAAAATAAAAATATTGCAGTTAGTGGTTTTGAAATAGTATGTTATTTGTACCTCAGTACAGGAATGCATTACATTTATAGTATACTGATCACTAAAGGCACAATATGCAACTTTTTAGACACAAAATAAATGTAAAAGCATCTTGATTTTTTTTTTTTTTTCATTTCTAATAGAAAATATTTCTATTTTCATGGAATCATGCAGGTGACATGTCACCTCCAGAAAGTCACTGTGCCTTTAAATTGTACATATGCACAAACATCTGTAACCTGTGCCAGTTGGAGCTGTGACACAAAATGATATATCTTTTCTCCCCTTTTATGTGGCTACACTATCTTTGAAAAAGACATTTTAAAAAATGAATCATTTTGGTGACAATAATTTTATGTACAATTTCTAAAAACATATATCAGTAATATATTTATGCATTGACCATTATTTTTCTATGCACATTTCCTATCCGTATGTTTAAAAGGCTTAATGAATTTTTATTTTTTTTTGTACTGTATTTATTCTCAAATGTAACCATTTTTGATGATAGTTTTCTTTGCCAAGGCTACTATAGCACAGAGAAAGTGCTTTTCTGCTTTCTTCAGTTAGGACGAGTGTAATGTAATAAGAGTGGCACATACCTGCTGTGTGTCCTCAGCTCTCAGGGTCAGCTCAGTGCTCCGTGGACTTTTCTATATAGTCATTTCACTTCATCAGGTCAACGTGTGGATCTGATTTGCTTTAGAATTACATTTAACAGGTCAAATTATGAAAACATTTGCAAAGAGTCAACTGATGTGACAGAAGACTGGAGATTATTTTCAACTTAAAGAGATCTATTTTGCAAAATTGGCTTTACAGACCTTTTGACCATTGAGACGTTTTCTTCTCATTTACAGTCTACAAGTTGTTTCAGCAATCTTATTTCGAAATCTTATTCACCTATTTTCAAGCCACGATATAGGCAAACATGTATTCTGCACCACTGCATAGTCAGTTTGGTAAATGGTCACATTTTTATACAACACTTTTCCACCTTCAAGGCACCTTGAAAGCATCTTGCCCGAGGACACAACAACAGCATTCATCTGTGGGAGCTGGAATCACACCAGCCAACCTGTGGGTCAGTGGATCTAACCACTCACAGCCTTTGGTTCGGTGAAGAAATGCTTTTATCAGCTGAACTACTGCCACCCTTTTATAGTAAAATCAGCTAAAAACATGTGTAATTAAATAGGAATGTAGTGATATCCAAATCTCACGCTATGATATTTTCACGATATACATCTCAGGGTACGATATTTATTGCAATATTCTGTGGAGGCCAACAAAATTGTGACTATGCTACTTTTTCCTCTTAAAATGCCTTGACCAGACTTTATACAAAGAACTAAGATTTAAAAGTGCTTAGAACTGTTATTTCTTCATGTAGTTTACACCAAAACGGAGCAAAGGATCATGGTCGATTGAGTTCCCTCTTCCTCTTTTTTAGCTATTGCTGTACCAAAACAATGAATTTAAGCAAAGAAACTTGTAATTTAATATATTGTGATGGCCCACGATATTATTGAGAGAACTTTGACGATACGATATCACGATATTTTAGTTGTTACACCCCTATAATTAAACAATGCGAGGCAGATAACTAAGATCATGGATGACATGCGATGACATTCTGAACCAGTTATTTAATCCTTAATCTTTCTTATTGTGGCTCAAGAAACATTTATATCAATACCATTTTCTGCTGTCATCATCAGAGGTGGGTAAGCAGCCAAAAATTGTCCACAAATAAGACTAAGGTTAACTTCAAAATATTACTCAAGTAGAAGTACAAAGTTGTGTAAAAAATGGTCTGGGAAAACTACTACTTCAGCAAAACATTACTCAAGTGGGAGTCAAAGTATGCTGCGTGAAAAGTACTCTGAAAATTTCTTTAAAAAATGACTCAAGTAAATTTAAGTGAGCACTACCCACGTCTGTTTAATATACAGCCAGGTTGAATAGCAGTTAATCAGCCCAACTCGCCTCTTGATCATTCTAAATCACCATCTAAGCGGAGAGGGGAGAGGGGAGCGGTCAGTGCATATTTCAATGTGGCTAATTAACCCTCTGGAGGCCGATGGTGCGATTCCCTGTAC